ATAGATGGAATTTTTGTAGTGACATTTCATTTGTATTTTATTAAATAATGCTTGCCTGAGGATCAGGAGAATATAACAGCCACACTGGTCAGCCTTACAGCCAGGCAATTGTAACACACACCTTTAACTCCAATAGCTGCACTAGTTGCCATAGAAACAGGGTGATGCATGCCTTCGATTCCAGAACTAGAAAGGATTCTAAAATGCAAGGAAACAGCTCTCAGACACAATCTCATTCTGAAATTTCTAGAGGCTGGATAGCCATTTTCAGACTGAGTTAGAGATAGCAGTGACTGACTACTTTGCTTTTTAGGTCTTCTGGTTGCACCCCAATTTCTCTTTCTGAGTTTTTATTTATCATACTTTATCTCAGCACCCAATGTGAGTGACCTTGAGTTTAAGAGTCTCATGATCTACTGACTGAGTTGTCCTGTTGACACAGAGACTGCTTGTTTGTTTACTGGCTGTCCAGGCCCAAATAATTACACAGAAACTATATTAATTACAACACTGTTTGGCCAATGACCAGACATATTCCTAGCTAGCTCTTACATCTTAAATTAACCTGTGTATCTCCATGAGGCTGTTGCTTACTGGTAAAAAGGTTCTGGGTGTCTTTCTCTTTTAGCAGCTACATAGCATCTCCTTGACTTCACCTACACCCTCTATATATGTCTGTTCAGATTCTCTGCCTGGCTTTACTCTGCTAAGCCATTGGCCAAAATGGCTTTGTTCATTATCCAATAAAAGCAAAACATATATAGAAGGATATCCCACATCATTTCCATTTTTCTTTCTAAATAAAATGGAAGGTTTTAACTTTTACATAGTAAAATTACATATAATAAAACAGTTATCTGTTGGAGGGAGGGCCTGCTTGTTTGTCTCAGCCATTTAGAACCAAAATAACCACACAGAAACTGTATTAATTAAAATACTGCTTGGCCCATTAGCTCTAACTTCTTATTGGCTAATTCTTACATATTAATTTAACCCATCTCCACTAATATGAGGAGATTTTGCTGGTAATGCTGAATCAGGAAGCCTTCTATTAAAAAGAACTATGCCTCTGCTTGCTGCCAGCAAACAGGGCCTATCTGAAAATATGCCGCTACCAAGAAGCTCCAATTGACTCCTGGTTTTTTTTTTCGGGGGGGGGGGTCTAGAAACCCTCTTTTATGTGGATCCATGACCCATGTTGGGCACTATTTTGTAAACAGAGATTGCTCGTTTGTTTTCCAGCTGCCCAGATCCAGATAATCTACAGAAACTATATTAATTACAATTCGGTTTGGTCAATGACTCACACATATTCCTAGCTAGTTCTTACCTCTTCAATTAACCCATTTCTATTAATCTGTGTATTGCCATGAAACTGTGGCTTACTGGTAAATGTTCTAGGAATCTTTCTCCTTTGGCAGCTACAAGGCATCTCCTTAACTCTGCCTACTCTCTCTCTATATCTCTGTTTCGATTTCCTGCCTAGCTTTACTCTTCTAATCCAGTGACTGAAACAGCTTTACTTATTATCCAATAAAAGCAACAAATATACAGAAGGATGTCCTACATCACTGTCCTGCCAAGTCCCATAGCTGTTCAGTTCCAAAAAAATTCAGTCTTATGTTAGTTATAAACTGTTTGGCCTATTAACTCAGGCTATTATTAACTAGCTCTTACAACTTAAATTAACCCACAATTCTTGCTTATGTTTAGTCATATAGCTTGGTACCTTTTCTCAGTAAGGCATTCTCATCTTGCTTCCTCTGTATCTGGCTGTGACTCCATCTCTGCCTTTCCTCTTCCAAAAATTCTCCAAAATTCCAACCTATATTTCCTGTCTGACTATTAGCCATTAAGCATTTGTTTCCTTGTTTGTTTATTTGTTTTAACCAATAAGATGGACAAATCTTCACAGTGTATAAGAGAGCATTATCCCACAGCAGATATATCTCTTAGGGCCTTTAGGATGAATCTATGCAATAATACAGTTTAAGTTCATTAATTTTGTGTTGCTTATTTTTGCATATAAGGCAATTTCCATTTTGTTAGCTGGGTTACTGTTAGAATGTAAAAACTTTCTGATTTAGTATGTATTCTTACCTTATGTTTTACTATTTTAATGCAATTGCAATTTTCATATTTTATATGAAAACATATCATCTGATTATAGTTTCTCCTTTTCTGGTTGATTTTGTCTTATTTTTTGTTCATTTGCGCTATTAATAACAATGTCTTTCACAAGCATGTTTCTATCTAATCTCTGATTTTGAATACTATTTATTTACCATGTTATAGGATATGATTTAATTTGAGTGGGTTGTTTTATAGCACTAAATAAATTATTGTTTAATTAAAGAATACAGCAGTCTGTTCACAGGGGCTAGGTATAGCTCAATTATGTGTTGGGGCTTCTTAATCATGTAGATGCTTTTAGAATATAGAGAATGGAATGTTATTTGAGAAAATACAGAAGACATTCCAAGAATGAACTTGCAGACAATTCAATGTTCAATATTTGCATAAAATGGGAAGAGAGCAAAATAGGACACACCTAACAACAGCCTGCAGAAATTTGAAAAGAAGAGATCCCTACCACTTCTGAACTACATTATAACATAGTCCAGGGGACAGACCAGTTTGATCACTGAAGATATTGCTGGATAATTATGTTTCAAAAGAATTGCAGTGGTAAAGATGAAACTGGTGTTATAAGACTATGACCTCTTTAGTGTTTCTTGGTCTGCATTACACTGCTGCGCAGCTCATTTGTAGTCTAAGACACTTTCTGTCCTTGCTCATCTATGTTTTATTATAGTTGCACATATTCCCCTGAACCACAACCACCAGACTTAAATCTCATATTAGAAAGAGATTGGTCTGCTCTTCTCCTGACGTTGATACTCAACCCCTCCCTCAGACTACAGAGAAAAGCATGATGCTGTATGTTTGCAAAGACCGTGGTTTTTTAAAGGCAGTACATTTGTTCCCGTGAGAGTGTGTGCGTATCTATATAGACAAGGTTAGAAATGGGTATAAATTAATACATAAGTGCTAGGTCATTAGTCTCTGCATCAGCCTGGAAAGTTGTTGGTGCTAAGCTCTGTTTCTCCTAGGAGCCTTTACCTTTCTTTCATCCTTGAGAACCAGGACTCTAGTAAGAAGATTTCTGTGTCTGCATTCTGGCCACCCAGGGCGAAGGACTGTCATTCAAGATGAGACACTATTCTGTTGCTGAAGTTGGCGCTATCCTCAAGTAGAAAGAGCAGTTGTTCTGAAGCAAGAAAAAAAAAACACTGATTTGAAAGTATCTCTTTATTCACAGTATTCAAAGGGGACACTCATCCCATCACTCCTGCCAGAAAGACTGAATCACTGCATTAGATCATCTGTAATTTCAGCTCTGAGACTGTGTGACTCTAAATACTATATTTCTTTCCCTCCATCATCACCAATTCCAAATTTCTTTAACAAGATACAAATGCATTGCAGAGCTAGCCCTGAAGCATCATGGGATCATGTCAGTGGGTGTGTAATTATGATGCTTGGGCTAATGACTGGGAGTAACAGATGTCTTGAAGCTCTATCACTCAGATGAATTTCTGGCAAACTGGCATGATTTCTCAGACAAAAGAAAATTTCTTCCTGTGTGGTTTCATGATACTATATTAAGATATAATATAAATTAATAGGTAAATAAGATTTAAAGTTAGTGATAATGGATATAAATTTTGAATATAATCTTTACTTGTTGATTCACCATGAACAACTACTTACCCTCAATGATATCTCAATTTCTTGTCTTGTCAAATGGGTATAATCAATGTGTGGTACTATAAAAATGGGACAAGGCAAGGAATCAGTGTTTGGCATCTAGGTACAACTGAAAAAAAATAATGATGGCAAGTGTCATCTCACTAGCTGATGTCTTCCTTATGCATGGACAAAACTCATTCTGTAAAATGTTTGTGCTTTGAGATTTTAGGCTAAATATAATATAACTTGGAAGGTCATGGGTTTTGACATTTGTTCCATAGTAAAAGAATTATACGAGCTAGGGAATTGCCCACAAATAATCACTAAGTTATCAAGCAGAAATATTCCCATGATTATTTTTTCTCATGTGAAGCTCTATATCCAATTTAAAAAACTTTAAAATAGTCAAATTACATTAAATTAAATGAAATATATACTGATCATATATGACTATTTTATGCATATAAGATGCTTTTTGTAATCATTTTTAATAATTTTAATTTGAATTACATTCAAGCTAAAGTAAATATTAAATAATTTCATCATGGACTTCTCCCTCAGGGTTAATAGAAACAAAAGTTGCCTAAAAATCTGGCAAACTTCTATGTCAGCCAGTCTCCTTTCCACCCCCAGGTTTCTTAGCATTTGTGTCTGACCTTTATCATGTTGTAGAGAAGGTGGAATGATGTGGGAGTGTCATATATCAATCTGTTGATTTCATTGGTTAAGTAATAAACAAACTGCTTGGGCTCATAGCTTAGAACATAGGTGGGTGGAGTAAACAGAACAGAATGCTGGGAGGAAGAGGAAGTAAGGTAAGATGCCTCAGACAGAGATGGACAGCTCTGCTCTCTGGAGCAGAGACGCCATGCTCCCCGCTCCTGGGCAGACACACGTGATGAAGCTCCGACCCAGGATGGACGTAGGCTAGAATCTTCCCTGTAAGACTGGTGCACACAGTTTATTAGAGATGGGTTGATTGGGATATCAGAATTAGCCAGTAAGGGCTAGAGCTAAAGGGCCAAGCAGTGTTTAAATGAATACAATTTGTATATTGTTATTTCGGGGCATAAGCTAGCCATGTGGGTGGCTGGGGTGCTGGGGACGCAGCCCCGCCGCCCCATTACTGTAGTGGAAAAAGCATTTGCTGGATACTTCAGGAGATTTAAATTATGAACATGCTTGTTTCTCTGAAGGCCCTTCTGAGACTGACTCTCCTAACCCTGCTCTTTTTGGATACCTTGTAGGCAAATGCGAGTGTGGCAGATGCACTTGTTACCCTCCAGGGGACAGCAGGGTATATGGCAAGACCTGTGAGTGTGATGACCGGCGCTGTGAAGACCTGGAGGGTGTGGTCTGCGGAGGTAATGACCAATCTGTCAGCCATACATCATCTGCAGGCAGATCTTTTTGCTGCCTTTTTCATTGCTTACCCACATTTAAAATTGCTATTCAAAGAAGTTAAGGAATATGCCATTACACTTTAAAGCTTTATTTATTACTTTTATAAGCAAGAACTCTTGACTTGGGTATATGTAAAAGACTGTCTAATCCGAATCAATTTCTACGCTAGTTGATATCAAGTAAAACGTTTCTATGCCTGCTGACATTCTATCATGATTTCACTCAGAAATGCTGATGGAGGAAATCAGTCTCACACAGAAACTTGGGGAAGAAACTGTAAGATTAAAGTCCAAGTTGAATTATAGAATTACAAGTGAAAGAACACACAGCTTTTTTCCTTGCTTTTGGATCCCAAACCATCAATTATCCACATAAAGAATAGGGCAGAGCAAGAGTAGCCCGGTTAAAGTAAGTAACAACACCTGGTTTACTTTGTCTCCTCCTCTCTCACCCGTGAGCCAGCTTGTTCACAGTTTGAGGCCCGATTCTCCAGGGCAAGTGTATCCTACATCTGTATACATACCGCTGAATTTTATTGCTCGGTTAGGGACACTTCCTACATGGAGATATCATCTCACAATGGCCTGAACATATAAGTAAGAATAAAGAGTCAGAAACACTACATATAGCTTACTAGTCATCCATGAGGTTCTACCTAATAATACTTCCCAACAATAAAGGACAATGTATAGTCAGTCCTTGGTATGTGTGGCACTTATGTGATCATGTTGAACACTGAATTAACAAATGCAGAGTCATCAGACCCAAGAGAAATGCAGTATTAGATTCTTGCCTCTGGTCATAATATTTTCAATGATGGCTCAAAATATAAGTTTTTAAACTTTTGTTCAAAGATACTTCATTTGAATATAACTGAGTAATTAATATTCAATTCAAGTCCTGATCATTGATCAAACCTTACTTAACATGTATATTTTTATTTAAAGACATATCATGGCCTTCTTGTATTCAGGTAAACAAGAAAGCTATTCAATATACTATCAGATGCTCTTTTGAATCATCAAAATGAGAACAAAAACAAGAACAAAATGTAGCATTGAAGTGACCAGATAAGAAATAGTTCTTTAGGATTTGAAAACTAAAACTAAAAATGAAAAAAATATGACTTTTTTTCCCTAACCAGAAATGAATCTAAATCACAATACTTTCTACAATTCCACATATGTGCTCCTATCACTCTGTGAGTAGTGATATTACAGCTGTAAATAAATTTAGAAATAAGTGAATCTGCAAAAGCAAATCTAGGATTAATGACAATCAGCTATAGTTCATTTTAAATGTCACTGCAAAGGTGAACGGTGCCTCCTACCTTAGTTTTGCACTGATCTACACTTTGTGATTTCATTAAGCTAGTGAATAAAAATGCTGCTGTTTTAATTTCTCTTCTTTCCTGATTGTTGTTGTCTGGATGATATTACATGAGCCTTGAGTGTTTTAATAACAGGGTCTTTTCCTATTTCTCAGCTACTCTTGAAACACAAGAGATCTTCCCCTGGGAAAGATTTTGGTACTAAAGTCACAGTACAGCAAGCATTCCATAAGGAAGTCACAAATTCTCATGATTTTTTAAAGCTAGCAATAAGCATGTTCTGCTTTGAGGGGCACCTAAAACCTATGTTTTAGGAATCCCAGTGTGAGACTTGGGCTCCTAGAGAGGTGAAGTTTCTTTTCTGAAATAGAAACATAAATATCTGTGCACTGTAGTGCTTTTCTTGAAATGAGAGTGCTTCGAAATAACAATCTGAATATTTAGTTGAACCTGAGAAGAAATGTTACTCCAGAGGATAAGCAGTATTTACAAATGTTTCTGACTCAATAGTATTTGTGAAAGCCAGCGTAGGCCCCAGTGACTCCTGGGTTTCTTTGCCATGAAGGATGGAGGAGAAGCTTAGGTTTACATTTGTTGTCATTACATTACAGTTATCTCCTTATTGAAAAGATGGTTTTTCTTTTTTTTTTTAACTTTTTTTCATTTTTTTAATTTTTTTTATTGAGAAAAGGAAAAAAACGTTTCCCCCTCCTCCCAGCCTCCCATTTCCCTCCCCCTCCTCCCACCCTTCTCCCCCTCCTCCCACCCTTCTCCCCCTCCCCCAAACTCCTCTTCCCCTCCCTCTCCAGTCCAAAGAGCAGTCAGGGTTCCCTGCCCTGTGGAAAGTCCAAGGTCCTCCCCCCTCCGTCCATGTCTAGGAAGGTGAATATCCAAACTGGCTAGGCTCCCACAAAGCCAGAACATGAAGTAGGATCAAAACCCCGTGCCATTGTCCTTGGCTTCTCATCAGCCCTCATTGTTCGTCATGTTCAGAGAGTCCGGTTTTATCCCATGATTTTACAGTCATAGTCCAGCTGGCCTTGGTGAGCTCCCAATAGATCAGCCCCACTGTCTCAGTGGGTGGGTGCACCCCTCGTGGTCCTGACTTCCTTGCTCTTCTTCTCCTTCCTTCCGCTCCTCATTGGGACCTTAGGAGCTCAGTCCAGTGCTCCAGTGTGGGTCTCTGTCTCTATCTCCATCCATCACCAGATGAAGGTTTTATGGTGATATGCAAGATATTCGTCAGTATTGCTATAGGATAAGGTCGTTTCAGGTTCCCTATTCTCATCTGCCCAAGGAACTAACTGGAGACATCGCCTTGGGCTCCTGGGAGCCACTCTAGGTTCAAGTCTCTTGCCAGCCCTAAGGTGGAGGCTGGATAGGGGAGCATGGAAAAGATGGTTTTTCCAACGAGGTTAACTGCGATGGAGAAGTTGGGAAATACCACAATTCTGCCCCTTTACCTGGTGTTCTACTCCTTATCTTCCCAAATTCTTCTGAATAATGTCACCAGATCTGCTTCCAAATGACACCTTTCAGGAAACTATTTTACTTTTCTTCTGTGTGCAATGCCTCTGCAAGACACATAATTCATGGAGGGTGTGATTATGAATATAATCAAACTCCATTCCTCTCTTCTTCCCCTTCATCATCTTTCCCTAAATTCAAGTTATTTTCAAGCTTACAATAAAAGAAGATCCTTCAAATAAATTATAAGTTCAGAAAGATACAGATAAGTTAAAAAGAAAGTAAAAGCTTTATCTATTTTTGGAGTATAGAATTATCTGGAGTATACTTAGATTGGATTTATAACAGGTAATATTTGGATGTTGGTCTTTCATGTGAAAGCATCTAGGTTTGAGAAGGCTAAACAAAATCATAGAGATTAAAATGTACTTGTTATTTTGAGGAAAGATATTTCATTTTCCTGTGTCTTCTAAAAATATGTATTCAATGTATTTTATTTATATGTGAGTAAGCCTAAGGATATACATGCATGCAGATACCCATCAGATTCCTTGGAACCATAGTTGTAGGTAGTAATGAGCTGCTTAACTTGCTTAACGTGCATGCTGTGAGCCAAGCCTGGGTCTTCTGCAAGAGTAGTAAGTGCTCTTCACTGCTGAGGTGTTCTTTCAGCCACATTTCATTCAACGCTTTGTTAGGAGCTCTTATTTACGATAAAAATACTTCACCTCTATTTGTTATGCATTGTCTTAAATACTCCTCTCTTAATGGAAAAAGGGTTGCTTTTATTTTTATTCTTTGATTCATTTTTTAATCAGCATGCAAAATAACAGAATACCTTAAAGCATTTTCATATGCACTTAGTTTTGGTCCCTTCTGCTCTACCTTCACCCTCAGTATTCCTACTTCCACTTCTTTTCCCACTGCACATGTACCATTTTATTCTTCCAAAATTATCCCCTAAATACCATATTGCCCCTCTTGTGGATGCCTTTTTAATTGTTTCTGAGACTATCTGCACACTCTAACAAAAACATCCTCTTATGTAAAAGTTAGAAGCTAACAGCATAAAGGAGAAAATAAAGCATAGTATTTATCTTTCTGATCCTGGGTAAGCTCACTTTATGTCATATTTCAGTTCTATTTCTTGCCTGCAAATTTCGTGATTCATTTTTGAACAAATAATGAAATATAAAAATTTGCTTTTAAATGAGCATTTTCCTTTGAAAAACTTAACTAAAGAGCACAGCAAAAACCAAAGTGAAATTCACTGATAAAAATATCAACTAAAATGATATCTTGATAATATTTTATTGTTGTCTATTTTAGGTTTCCTTTTAGGTGGACAATTCTTTTCTAATCTAAATCCATAAACCTCATTTAAATATTTGGAAATATGGTTAGTGAAAGTCCAAATTCTCCAGTATGTTAAATTGCATTGATTATACAGCTGGTACCTCTTATATCAATTAACAATCAGGACAACCCACATAGATAAGCCCATGGGACAGTCTGATCTAAACAATTCCTTAATTAAGACTCCTTTCTCGGGTGACTGTAGGCCATGTCAAGTTGAGAGTTAAAGTTCACTAGGAAGTTAGTATCCCTCTTGTTAAAGATAGGCAGCAGTGGGCACGCCATTACTAAGTTTGAAACATTTGAACACTATTCTAGGATAGGCTCATAGAATAAATTCAAAATTTTGAGATTGGACCATTTGCTCAGTTGATGACCAGACTGATCCATGGATTCACCTTGAAGTTTAGTCTAGAACTCAACATATTCAGGGTTTAGCCAGAGAACTGAATACTGCTTCTAATTCAAAAGCAGAGACTGATAGAGAATACTGTTTTGAGAATACAACAAATATGTAAATCCCAAACATCTATATGTCCACCTAACCAGCAATCATGCAAAAACCAAGAGCCAACATTGTTAATCCACCCACTAACACTAAAACTAAAGATGATTAAACCTATTCTGGCAGGTTAAGATAATTTATCAATAGTACTCAAAGGTGAATGTAACTAATTTCATAAATCTCAACAGTTCAGTTTTGATTAAACTCAAATTAAAACCTCCAGAAGAGTCATGATAATGGCAAAAAAAGAAAATCAGCATGATGTAGGACCTTTCTTCATTTAATTAGCTTGTGTGTGAGTC